TCTTCTTGAACTGTAAGTAAATGTCACAAGAACAATAGCCATTCTACGCTATGGGTGAACCTCAAATTATCAATATGTCCATTACTGGATTTCTCCTCGTTTAAGAAGCAAGTGTAAGAGAAGAAAATGAATTCACTGATGTTATTTGAATGAATAATTGCGCTTAAACTGAAAATGCATAGTATCCTCTGTAAGCGTAACAAATACAGTGACTTCAGCTGAGCCTTCAGCAAATGATTTTGAAGAGCTGTGAGATGGCTGCTGATTAGCATTAAGAATTCATTTGCACTGCTGGCTAACACTTCTTTTTCACAGGTGGCAAATCGAATGCCATTATTTGTAAAAGAAATTGAGTATTGCTACCCCTCAATTATCTGCTTGATGAAAAGCGGAAGAATGGATTGTCGCTCAAAATTAACGAGGGCGCTTCGTTACTTGTGGTGACCACGTCTAAACAGCTCAAAGATGTTTCCTGCCACATCTTTATTTTCATCCTTATCATACATTTTTCAAGGTTTAACTCTTGGCCCTTCAGAGCTCTAGCGTCTTATTTCTGGAAACAATAAAGGAAATACTCACAAGCTCTTTGTCATGTAGCACCCTAGGAAATTTACAGAGAACAGTTTGAGGAATGTATCTGCGGATGTTAGGGTGTAAGGGGTTGAGAAGGCAATGAAGGTAGAAACTCAAATGCTATAAGCAGTGTGGATATCAATATCCCTGCTGTTTTCTTGTGACTATTGTTTTTTTTCTTTTAAGGTTCTCATGGGAAATGATGACAAAAACTCAGAAGTAAAGCATGTTGTTTATGGATTGTTGACTAGATATCTGCGATTCCGGCCACAAACTCACCAGGGTGGGGTGTGTATGAGAACAGAGGTGTTTGGGGTTAAGCAAAAGCCAAGTGAGTTTGAAATTTGATGTTTCGTAATTGCTGTGATCTGCCACTTTAATGGACGTTCTTAGATACTCTCTTAATCTTTAAAGAAGAGTTTTAAACCTGATACATTCGTAGATATGTTCTTTTAATGCGATACACTAAGCTGTCCCGATACAGTTAGTGGCTAAAATGATACAAACTACATTGTATATAAATTATAGCCTAATGATACTGTTTATACAGTCATCAAAAACACCAAGCCTCTCATTATAACTTGTAAGGCTCTGTTCTTTTAAAATGTACATAGGATCAATTGTAATTTTTTTGATGTGAAACTCAAATTATTGGGATAAATACCAATGAAGTTGAAGTGATATTTGATCTTCAAATGCTGTAGGAGTCAGCTAATTAATTTATCATTTCAATCAATAAGAAACCATAGAATCGTTTGTCTCATTATGTAGTCACTTGAGATGTAGATCGTGACAATTGAACTGCTTACTGCTAGTCTACATCAGGCAAAAGAGTTGACTGCTCATGCTTTGCCACTTGTACTATGGCGTTCTAATATGATTGGCGGATCTTGCTCCCCATAGTTCCGATGAGTACTGATTTCCCAAAATCTTCCCCAAGCAGAGAGCCTGTAACGTAGTTCAAGTTCGCAGTGGTTTTACCCTATGTAAAAGGTGTATCAGAGCCTCTTTGCCGTTGCCTATAACAGCATCCACACAGTCTTCAAGTCCGACACAGCTTTTTGATCGCATTAACAGTATATTTCCTGACAGATTGCAGCATTCATTGGGTTATTTTGCAAAGGCTTCATTTTCTCGTATTCTTCTATAACTCTTTTTCTGTACATTCGGTAATAATATCCTACACATGGTTTAGGAGTGTCTACAATCAAATGTATTGAAAAACATACATGAAATACGCATAGATATGAAGGTAATCATCTAATTGTTACCTTGCAGCATGTGATTCCCAGGCAATTGGGTTGGCCAGCGGTGGTAGAATTCCAGATGACAGCTTTTCGGCCAGTTCAATATTTGCTCCCAGATATGCAGCTAAATATGGTCGTCTTAATGGAACAGGGGCATGGGAAGCTAAGACTAACGATCGTGATGACTACCTACAAATTGACCTTCTCTATGACTATGTTATCTGTGCTGTAGCTACTCAAGGAAATCCACCAAACCAATCGCCAGCCCAAGAGTGGACCAAAGAGTACAAACTACGATTTTCTTTCGATGGTACCACTTTTTTCCCCTATAAAGAAAATAAAACTGACAAGGTCGGTATGTCATGCTCTTGTATACAAGTATTCATAGCAGCCAAAATCAATACTTGTGGTGTAAAACTAAAGCTACTCACAAGAACAACAAATTTGCTTTTATATGTCATAATAATATTCACCATGCTAACATTGCCCACAAGATACTTATGTTGCTTACAAAACAAAATGACGTGACATTACATTCAACAATAATTAGTTACATTTTCTAATCAATTACATGTCCATGTAAGGATCAGTATAGAGTACACACACCCAAAAGCATGTAGACTATGAGTTAAATATATGTTTTCATAGGAGTATGAGTGTAAAAGATGTAAAAAAAACTGATATATTCAAACTGTTCAATCGTACTTTCTAAAACAATTACCACAAAATTTAAATATGGAGAATGAAATGGTCCTGATCTCCCTGAAAGTCATTGTCTAACCTGTGGCATTCCTCAAGGCACAATTCCTGGTCCTCTTCAAATGACTTGCTGAATTATCTCAAGCTCTTTAGTTCTGAACCTAGGATGTATGAAGATGATGTGTGCTTAACTTATACAGATAGCAGATTTCCATTCTGCATATTACAGATTCTCATGATGTGTTATTTTTTCCAAGTTACAGATTTTCATTTTACAAATTACAGATTTTCAGTTGGCAAATTGCAGATTTAAATTTGATCTAATTTCCCAAATTACAGTAAACCATTAACTATGCTAAGTTTCAATACATCAATATCACTTTTTGTATAACAGTCCTTTCCAGGAGATTTAGGAAAAACTGACACAGTGAAAAACAGTCTGAAGGAGTTTGCAAGTGCAAAGTTTATACGCTTTCTGCCAACAAAGTATAATAAGTTCAAGGTTTTGAGAGTGGAGGCTTATGGAATACTTTTGACTAAAGGTATTTATTTGTTCTCGTTTTGTACCTCTGATACAAAATTAAGTCACAATAAGCAAATATTGGGGAAATTAAGGCAAGATCGGGCAATTTACATTTACGAGGGCTTTGTTATTGACGAATATCAAAAGTAAATGTCGGAGATGGCTGTGAAATGCCTATTAATAAAGTTGTGATGCCTAAATCATAAGGAACATCATGGAGAAAATAGGGTTAATGGAAAAACAAAGTCACCACCTCTGATGATCCTCCATACTACTCTTAATCAATGTAGACTAACCATTAGGTTTACCATGGCTGATAATGATATGTTCCTCTTTAAACTTCTCATTGATTATCATCTATCGATTCAAACATAAATCTCTTGTTGTTAATACAGTTCCATCACAACCTCCCACTGCCTTCCAGTTGATTGCAAACTCTTCTACCAGCATCATAGCTTACTGGCAGTTACCACCAGTCTTTGCTAGACATGGAAACATTATAGGGTTTAGATTGTTTTACAAAAGGAAAGGTTCTGGTGGGTCAGCAACAACCTTGTCTATTAGCGATGGAGCAACATTTAGTAGAACTGTTCGTGGGCTTGATAAGTACACAGAATATATATTTCAAGTTTTGGCCTTCACTTCTGATGGCAATGGAGCAAAAAGTTCTGCAAAAGTGAAAAGAACAATGGAAGATGGTATGTGCTAATGAAGAAAACTGTGAACCATATGTATTGAATTTACATCCTCATTGGGGGTTTATTGGATACCAATCTCATGATGAGGAGGCTAACCAATTGAATAGTTTAGAACCAATTGATTTCTTTAATTACTAAAACACAACAAAACTTGTATTCATGTACCAAGTTAAGATGTGAAGAAGTTTTCAAAACTTTTACAGCTGATAAAACTAATTAAAAACACTACTGCCCAATTGCAGCTCCTTCACAACCTCCATCTAATTTCAATGTCACTCCAACTGTCTCTACTGGTGTAACAGCATCATGGCAACTACCACCAGCAAACTCCAGGAATGGAATAGTTAAAGGATTCAAATTGTTTACAAAAGGAAAGACTCGTCAGGCTCAGGCACCATTCTTCTTATCAACAGTGAATCAACTTTAAACAAAAATATCGATGGGCTTTATAAGTACACAGAGTATGAATTTCAAGTGTTGGCCTTTACTTCTGCTGGTGATGGTGTAAATAGCTGTTGTTGTTAAGAGAACAAAAGAAGATGGTTAGAGCAACTTTTTGTTTTATATTCTAAAAATGTCATGACTTTTTAATAAAAGGTCAGATACAGTTACCCTTCTTATACAGTTTTCTGATGTGATGTGAAAAATGAAAATATTTAATTATGCAATATGCGATTTTAATAACCACGATTTAACACACCGTTATATCAGTGAGTCATGAGTGGTAAAGGAATTATTAGAAGATAACGAACATAATGTAAGCATTCTGATTGGCCCTTAAATCATGTCTATTTACTCATGAAATTATAAGCACGCAATAACATATTAGCAGTAATGTTGGCTGTTGTTATTGGTTGCCTTCTTTCTTGATTTAGACCTCAATGGTGTACCCTTTGCGTTGCAAATTTATAATAATTTTTGGATTTGAGTCTGCCTTTTTTTTCCCTTTCATTTGTCCCTGAGTGGCAAAAACAAACAAATACCAATACAGCTACGGCACTGATATTCTGAGTCAAATTTGTGTTCCTCACTGGAAGAGGCATCCTACAAATAGAAGCAAACATAGAATTAGATTCTTTATGTTTATCTTAAGACCACTTGCGAATATGGCATATTTTCAACATATATCACATGCCTAATAATATGCATGCAACAATTTCAGCATCCTAATTGGTTGAGAACACGTCAATTTATCTCGAACAGTGCAGAGAGTTGAAATTAAGAGAAAAAAGTTGAAATTAAATTGATTTACAGGATTTTGGCTCATGGCGGCCGGTTGGCAGAAAGTAACAACGTTTTAATTTAAAGTTTGAAGGAGAGCGCTCGAAAATGAAAAACCCAACAAGCACAAACAGATGGCTAGGAGTCTGGAAGACTTGGCTTCCCAAAATGGCTATGACAGAATTATTGAAACATACGAACTGGAAGCCCAGAAAAAAAATCTCAAGGAGTTTATGTAACAGTTGGTAGTAAAGACAGAGAGATTATAAGAGTGATAACCTTTGTGTACTGGTTGCTGCTCTTAAGTAATTATCTGATTAAAAATAATAAGATGACAATCATAATGACTCTTTTTATCGCTATGATTATTTCCATTTCTTATATAATCATGTGAAACTTCTTAATTGCAGTTCCTTCACTGCCGCCTAGTAGCTTTACTCTGGCTGCAAGCACTTCTACAAGTATAATAGCATCCTGGCAGTTACCACCAGAAGACTCCAGAAATGGAATCATCACAGGATATAAATTGTTCTACAAAAAGAAAGGCTCGTTAGGGCCAGCAAGCATGCAGCCCATTAACGGTCAGGCTACTCACTCTCAAGAGGTCACTGGGCTTGATAAGTACACAGAATATGAATTTCAAATATTGGCATCCACTTCTGTTGGGGATGGACCAAAAAGTACAGTTGTTTATGAGAAAACAAAGGAGGCTGGTAAGAAATAGTAATCTATCTATTTTTATAAAATTCAGAAGTTTATGGATGCCATAAATGTCTCAATAGAATGGTATTCAACCATAAAGAAGAGATCAAACAGTCTTTGGAAAACTTGTTCAATGTGTTTGTTTGCCTTATCTTTGATGTGATAGATCTTAACACAATTTAGATTCCCAACATGTAATTTTAGAAATACACCTGTTCCTGTGCATGCATTAAATGTCCAATTTCAAGAAGGCTCTGGTGAGAGGGCCATTTAATTGGGGTGTTGTCACTGTTAAAAGTGATAAGTAGGGAAAATACATGTAATGTCACAGTGAACTTGAAATGTGTCCATCTTGTGGCAATCAGATTTCTCATTGTCCTACCTACATGTAGCATACGTTGTTAAAAAATGCCATGTTGCATTTTTCTCTTACCGGAAGGTTCCAGCTTTTCTTGTCACAGGGATCCAAGCTCAATTTTTCAAAAAGTCGCCTTTTGGCGACCTTTAACTTTAAAATAGTCGCCATACAAAAATTTGATCACCTTTTCCCCCCTTCCCCCGCTTAAAAAAATTTTAGTGTTCCACTACTGTACGTGAGGTAGGTAGTGAGCCAAATGATGCGATCGTAACACTTTCATTCGCCAACTCTACTTGGTACGTTTGATCCCGTGCAGATTAGAAGATTGTAATAACGGCCAAATAAGAGGGAATGAAGAGACTCTGATGTCTGGGAGCAGAACGATTTACCGAAAAGTTTCTGAGACCGAGTAACAAAATATTAATCGTGTTTTTAAAATAAGATTTCATTCTACTTATTACTTAGTTGAGAAATGTCTCTTATTTAGAGTGAAATGAAATATTTTATTAGAACCTTCCATCCATATTGTAAGTAACATCTTGAATCACTTGATATGAGTCGCCATACTTCTTAATACAAAGTTGAAGGTTTGCTGCATGTAATATTAAAACATGAAATTAAGTTTGTCACAGCGAAATGACTTCGACTTGGTTCTATGCATTCCAGGTTTATGCATATTTGGGAGTAACGGAAAGTTTTTCTTTCCCCCCTTTTTTTTGTTGGTTTGTTGGTCGTCAATTGGCGATTTTTGTCGAAAGTTTAGTCGCCGGATATATTTTTAACTTGCCATGGCGACCAAAACAGTCCCAACTTGGAGTGCTGTAGCATGCTTACAGAACTACAAATACACAATTTGCATTTCTTAAATCAGCGCCCCTGTTTCAACGCTTGATGGAATGAGGTGCTTACTTAGTAGGGGCACATATAAGAATAAGGCGCCTATAAACAAAAGTAAATTGGAGGTGTGCGGTTATTAAATTTGGGGCGCTTATGAGAATGAGGACGCTCAATCGAATCATTGCGATATACCAAACATGTATTTTGGGATTCTGTTTCGCGTTAGTTTAGCTTTTCACCCGAGAGTAGTTTTACATTATTAATTTTTTTCTTTTTTTATCAAAAAGAGCCCAGTCGTGGACCAGAGGAGATATCTTCCTCTGCAGTGAGCTCCGCAAAATTCAATATAACTTGGCTTGGACTGTCTAGAGAAGTAGCCAATGGCATGATCATAAACTACGAAGTTAGGCTCGGTGTAGTAGAAAACTGCACAGAGATCAAGTCTTCTTACGATTCAACCTTTAATACGACCAGCACTTATGTTATCGTCACTGGACTCTCTTTGTGTACCAAGTATGAGGTGTCTGTCAGAGGCTACACTGCCGTGGGGCCTGGACCCTACAGCAACCCTGTAATGGTACAGACATTGGGTAAGGAAGTCTGTGGGAAGCTGTAATGAGGCAATTTTTAGGGAGGGAGTAGAACTGAAAGGTGGTAAAACCTTGTGAGAAAGTGTGGGAAACACAGAAAAATGATGTAGGTTTCGAGTAAAGGCAGGTAATTAAAGAGCTATTTTAGTGTGTGATATAAACATGCATAAAAGCTAAGTTTTCCGTTTTTTTCGCGATGTAGTCACGTGCGATGTGGATCGCGAAGTTTCGATCGTATACTGCCAGTCTTCTTCAGGCGACCTCATGGCCTGAAGAAGACTAGCAGTATGAAGTCGAAACGTCGCGATCTACATCACACGTGACTACATCGTGAGAAAAACGGGAAACTTAGCTTTTACTGTTATTCACCACGATGAATAACCACAGCCTTTTTCACGAAAAACGTACATGTAACCTCATCAGTTTCCTCCAGAGTAAGAACAACTGATGCTGCTGCTGTTGCTGCCACCACCCTTACGATTATGACAAGAAGGCTGCCAATTGCGGAAGTGAGAGTAATCTACATATATACATTTATACGCACACAAAGAACAAAATGTTTTTCAAAGGCTAACTTAACAGGGCTTCTTTCCCTTTTCCTCAGCTGTGGTTTGGTCTAAAGAAACGCCATCTTCGCCTTCTTTTTCTGCAAATTCAGATGAAGGAGGAATTTCAGTTAAAGTCACGCTTCCACGTTTCCCTGGAAATGCAAGGTATGATTAACTAATCAATTTAACGCTAATTTTGGCTGTATTCCTGGACCACAATGTTCGTGATGTAGTACAGTGTTCATTTTCTTTTTTTATGTAATCATCACGAGACATACTGTGCATTGCCATGTGTAGGTGTGGCAGAAAATATAAGTAACAATCGACAGCATAGGACACTGCTAACATCACAAATATCCTGTCACGTATCTTGCAGGTTTTTCCAAGTTATCATCATTACATATAGCTCAAACTATACTGGTGCTGTTAACCCATCAGAAAGATTTACAACACAAGACATGATGACGTACGAAGAAGCGCACAAATCTGCCATTCCTGCTGCTTATGTCGCTTTTCAGTTTGGAGGAAATGATTTTGATAAGTATCGGGAATTTGTTGTTGGAGATGGAGCGGAATCCAGCGGTAAAGAAAGGAGTAAAAGAAGTAGTGGTGATCAGTTTTATTACAACAAACCACTGCAGCCGAATACAAACTACAAAATGTTCCTCAGAGCTTTTGACTCCGAGGTATTTTAACAAAAAGCAGGTAATTTAGTGTTAACAACTGGGTTGAAAACGTAAATTAGCCACC